AGGGCTCAGGAAAGCAGAGGGTGAGAACCACCCCGCTAGTCCGTTGCTCTGATTTTACACATGAGCATAAGGAGGCCCCAGGGCATTGAGACTTTGTGTGATTTGTGCTGCTTTATTGCCAAGCTGGCTTTCCTCACCCTGTAGCTCTTTCTGCTATACTCTGGCAGCCCACCCCATGAAATAGTGATATGTCCTCTTTGAAGGTTGAATTTGTCCATTGTTTTTATAATGTTAGACAGATTTTTATAAGAACCTAGGTGCTGTTCATGTTCGAGTGATCATTTTCAATCTCGTGCTTGGTTTCATGCTGCAGACTAAGTTCATCCAAAGACCAGGACGTGAATATAGCAATGATTGAACAGCTGAGAGAAGCGGTAGATTTGCTGCAGGATCCCAACAGGTAGGTGTGTTTTGCCTTGGCCCAGGTTTCTTGTGTAAATAATGCACGCTAATTTATTGAGTGCATTATCTCAATTTTTAAAGTATTTATACTCACAGTGTGGGCTCACCACTAACCACTAACAAAGAAAAATTGCTTTAACTGTCTATTTTCCCAAGATCCAGAAGTAAAAGAGTCAAACTTTTGGAGGGATTGAGATCAATTCCCCCATTTTCCATCTCTTCATGAAATTCATAGGGCAATTTTTGGTATACTTCTTAGATAACAGAAATACAGTAAAAGTGCATATTTACATTGCTTAAAGTTTAAACCTCTGGTATATAGGAATACAAGAGATTCTCTAAAAATGAAAGAATTAGTTTATCAAGTACTACCATATTTACTTCTGATGGTGCCAAATATATGTTAACTAAATAATGTATTTCTAAAGATATGGGTTAGAAGATCATTTTAATTGAATTAGCCTTTATCACTAATAGGCACTGTATGCAGGAGACATGTTTTTTGGTTTCTCAGCTGAGGATAATGGAATTCCCCTGGACGAAATATTTTTCAGTAAGGCAGTGTACCTGGTATCCGGTAATAACTACCATACTGATAGAGAAATAGATCCAAATTTATCCCTAGCAAATCATTCAGAGGTCCTGAGAATTTAAACCTGAAGATGATGTGGTCTTGTAATGTGGTGCACATGGAAATCGCAGCACATCCTGGGATGTATGGAAAGGGTGATTAGTGAGTCCCAGAGTACCAGTGAGAGTACACCACCACCACTGTCTGGCTCTGAAAGTGTAGTGGCAGATCAGGGTGAGTATGGCTGGAAATCTTTGGCGATTGATTTGAAAAGCATTTCAATTCTGCAGACATTAGTTGAGTGTTTACAGCATGGGGAGATCTACAGTGTGCACCTTGGGGGATATAAGGATGAGGAAGACACAGCTCTTCCTTCTAAGAACTTAAACTATCGTAATAGGAGTTGCCTTGAATGGTGATGGTGATTTCTAAGTGTAATTGATTTACGTGCTTAAAATGAAGCAAAAGTGATGAACCAGAATGAATGCCTGGCCCCAGACGGAAAAGGGGAGATGGCTTGGCTGGCCTTCCTGCAGGTTGAGATATTTTACCAGGGTCTTTCATAGCTGACATTTTCAAGGAGAAAGCAAATTCTGGATGGAATTAAAAGCTTCTGCAAAGACATGGAGGTCAAAAAGAATGGAGCAAGCTTGGAAAATCTCAGGCAGAAAAGATGATCTCCACACTGGCTGTGCTTCAGTATTATTTATGGAACGTTCAAAACACAGACACCCTGACATTACCTGTGGGGCTGGGGGTCTGGCCATTTTTATTTTTTAAAGGGTCTGCCAGTGGGTCTGTTGTGCAGCCAGGACTGAGATTTATCGGAGGGGCCATTTGAAGTGATGCAGGCATGACTTTGAATGCTGTGTTGAGGAGCTGAAACTTTATTTTACATGCAGGGGGAGGTAATAATGATTTAAAAATATGATTATTCATGTTGTTAATTCTCCCTAATGTTTGGCTCAGGGCCTGACTTGTTAGTAAGCACCTAATCAAGGTATGTTCCTTAAAGAGCTGAGTTTCACATCCTAAACGAGGGCAGTTGGTGAGAAGGTAGGAAACTGGGAGGGGAGAGAGAGAGAGAGAGAGTGAATGTGTGTGTATATGTGTGTGTGTGTGTGTGTGTGTGTGTGTGTGTTTGAAATTATGAGGAATAGGGAATAGCATGGCTGGTGAACAATATACCCTGAATCAACTAGAGTCATTTGCAAAGCTAGCTCTAACGCCAGGTAATCTGGGTAAGTTCTGAAACTTCTCTGCACTACAGTTTTCTCATCTTAAAATGGTCTACAAGTGCTTATTTTTTAGGGTTGTGAGGATTTGAAATAATATATAACCTGCTGTTGGGAAAGTAAATTGGCAAAACCATTCCAGAAGGCATCTTTGTAGTGGAAAGCCATAGTCTGAAACTATTTATAAACCTTTTGAATGAATTCTAAAAATGTTTCCTAAGGGTCAAAGAGATACGAATTGAGATTGTGAGGGGGAGGTGGTTTTTATAGAAAATACTTGGAAAAAAGAAAATGACTTAACAATTTGGAGATACTTAAATATCTTTTTGGTCCTTAATAAGATGGAATATGTGGCCAGTGTAATGTTTTTTAAAGTTTCCAATATATTTTAGATTGCTCATTATATAATTTTAACATTAAAAAGTATTTTAAAATGCATAAAGTTTGATCCCCATCATATAAATAGAATTAGGCCCCAATTGTATAAGAAGCTTAGAAAAATTAAAACTAGAAATATATTAAGATGCATTTCTTCTGTGGGTATTTCTAAATTACTGTTTTTCTTTATCCTTTTAAATATTGTAGCTAGACAGTGGTAGGTACTTAAGTAGTTTTTGGTAATTGTTTGAAGTGGATGGTGAGGATGGGAGGGAATAGTCCAACGTGTTTTAGACCCCAGTCCCTCGTTTCTTCCTCTGAGATGGGGTACCAGGAGGCACAGCCGGTTTGAGGAGGAGGATGTTGGGGTCTGTTTAGGGCCTGCTGAGTAGAGTTCCAGTGGCAATGTGGCAGTGTCCATTCAACTGTTAGATGTTTAGGTCTGGGATATCAAGACTTTGATTTAAAGGTACTTTAATCAGGTGCTGCGATAACAGAAGCTGGATGCGGGGATGAGGTTCCTAAGGGCAAGCACATGAGCGGGAAGGGAACGTGAATCCAGGACAGAGCCATGAAGATGTGATGTTCAGAGGAGGCCCACTTGTGCTTAAACTTAATATTGTTTTAATATTTCTACCTTTTTACATTTTCTATCCCTTTTCTAATAAATTTTTCTTACAAATTAAAGATTAATATGTGAGTCTCCGAAGTGAAAAAGAACAGCCTAGTTTGGTGGACATAGCACTGGTGAGGGAATGTGGGACTGGAACCCAGTGTAAGATGGGGGTGACCTGGAGGGTGTGGCTCCCCACTCTGGGCCTCAGTTGTGTCATCTTTCATGAGAAGTGGGGTGAACTGAGGAACTGGAGATTCTGCTCCAGCTTGGAAAGGTCTGAGGCAATGAGTTGCCAATGATGGTGAGCCAGTTGACATGAGTGTGGAAGAAAGCAGCCTTGAGTAACCTTCCAAGTGATAGTTGATTTGCATCTTTATGGATTGCTATTTTAAGATTATATTATGTTGTAAAACTTTATATAGATTTGATTTCCTCCCTCAAACAATCCACTACTTTGGCTGCTCCAGATCTTTGTTGTTCATCCTGAAGTAGCTATCGTATTATGTCAGTTCTAACTTGATGATAATGTGTCTGTGTGCCAGTGTAATGGGAATAAAGAGAGTCCTGTTTTTGCTTTGAATAGAGAGAAGGCACTTCAAGAGGTCACCCTTATTTCTAGCTTGGATAATAGTAATAAAAATTTTATATACACTTTGGGGTTTTTCTTTATCTCATATTTCATGGATCCAGATTTCTTTGTTTATTTTAGCTAAGCCACTGATTATAGGATTCAATTTTAGAGCTTTACCTTTCATACAACCTCAACATCAAAAAATTTAGTTGAATATTGCTATCCTGTTTTGCCTTTATGTCAGTTTCTTCTCTTAAGGAGTTCTGATTTTTGGTTTGATAGCATTTTCAATAGGCATGAGTAATACGAACTTATTCCTACCTTTTAAAATAGCTTTGTAACTATAATATGACTTACAGAAATTCCTGGTTTTATAGATCTTAAAAAGAAGCTCAACTCTTAAAATCACAGAAATTCAGAAACTATCTGTAAGATAATTTCAGAAATAAATTCCTTATGAATGAATTTTTAGTTTTTTAACTGAGAATATTAGTGTCTATCAAAGACATCGTCTTACTAAAACAAATGCCCTCTGTACATATACCACAATATAGTACATGTGTAGTACAGAATAACTTTACTTCTGTAAACTAATAAAGTTCTAGAATAAAATTTAGTGTATGCTACCTATGAATAGTATGACTTTATCAGAAGTTACTATTATATTTCAAATAAGTTGAATTTTGATATCAAAACAGATGGAAAATTGTATTAAAATTATTATATTAAATTTGGCACATAGTGGGAAAATTTGAAATTTCTACCATAAACTTTTCATTACTTTATCCTAATGATAAACATAACTTTTTAATATATTAAATTTTAAAACTAAAAATGGCTAAAGGCAGTACAATTTCATAGAAGTTTTGTAAATTTGCTAACACTTTTTTCCCGCTACTCTTCAGATTAAGCACAGATATTACAGAGAGAAGTGTTGTAAAGTTTTACCCTGTGGAATCAGCAGAAGACTTGGAATTACAAGACTCTGCACTAAAGTATGTTGACCTTTTACAACTTATTTTCTTTTTTTATAACATAGTTTCTATTTTTACATTGAAATATTTTTGCTTTAAATTCCACTTTATAGCTTTTTTCCCCCTCTAATTCCTACAGTGGTCAAATACAGTTGGAGACATCCCCGGTATGTGAGGTAAGGCTGCTCTTGGATCACCCAGAGCTCTGGTGCAATATTCTGCCACAAAATAGTGGCCGCCATATTCTGTCAAGATTTCTCATGGGGCGGAACATTCATCAGTAGAGATCAATATTCAGATTTGTTCAAGATCTACTTTTCAAATGTTTTATACTTTTAGCTCCTTTAATTTTTCTATTTATCTGTTATACTTCACCTCTCATTAAAGATGAGAGTTGGCTGTTTCCATTCAATTCTCTAAATTGTTTATGTCAGGCAGCTTTAAGTCAGACAGTGGCGACTAAGACCCACAGGGAAACTTCTTTGCCAGAATCTGGAGGTAGAACCAGCTGAGGCAGGTTTTACAGTCACAGAAGAAGCCTGTGAACTGACCAGATGAACACAAACTTGCAAAGACTCAGAAGACAAGAACTTGGGAAATGCCTAAGGATTAAGAGACTCTAACAAAGAGAAACTAGTGGGGGTATTTGGGGGCAGAGGAAGGGTAGGTTATGTAGCTACATAGGGTGAAATTTGGTGGCTGTAGAAAAAGCAGTTTTGATGTAAAACTGGAGATAAGCCTGGAAGGTCCCTCAGAAAACAGTTGCAGCGAGATGAAGCGAAACACTGGTTACAACCTGTTTTATCTCTTCTTACTGAGTCGGTTTAGGATGGCTAATTTCCATACAAACCAATTTACATCCCCTGAGGTGTCTGAACACGTACTGTAGTAGAGCAATTGCACTCTTAACTACTTAAGTCTCTGTGTTAAATAAGAAAAAAAAAGAACTGTAGTTGAAAAACCCATGTTCTCAGGGAGTGTGGTTTCATAGTTGAGTGCAGTGCTGAGGAATTGTGTTAAGCTTCAGCCTCATCTCAAAGACTTGCTCACTGTGGGCTCCTGTGGGCTGCCTCTTTAACTTTACCTTTATTGTCTATAAATTGGGATCAGTCTCCCAACCCCGGCACCTAACTGTCAGCTGTTACTGTTACTCTGCTCTGTGGTGGTTGTTGGTATGGTTCTTAGAATCACTGCACTACCTCTTCCCCGAGGGGAGGGAGGCATCGCTGAATGACCCCACAGCGGGACATCCGGAAGCCTCTTATCTGAAGGCTGCGCAGGGCCCATGCCGTCAGCTCTCCTTCTGAGACATGCTTATTTTGATTCTGTGCAGACTCACTTTTTTTTTTTTCAGCTTCTTATTTGAAAATAATTTTAAATTTAAAAAAGGTTGAAAATAATTACAAGATTCTACAAAAGGTTACAAAAAATTGTAACCTTTTACCCAGGTTTACCTGTGACTGATGTTTTGCCACGTTCACAGTGTCATTTGTTCTCTGTCTCTTCTTTACCAACACACACACACACACACACACACACACACGCACGCACACACACAGAGTTATTTTTCTGAAAATTGGAGGATAAGTTTTGTACATCATAGTCCTTTTCCCTAAATATTTCAATGTACGTTTCCTAAGAAATGAGATTTTCACCTTATATAACCCCATTTCAGTTATCAACTTCATAAGTTATATTGATAAAATATTTTCATCTGATCTGCCATCCATATTCCAGATATTTAGGTTGATATAGTGATGTTTTTCGTAGCACTTTTTCTCCTTCAGTGTAGGAGCCAGTCTAGAGGCAATCGTTGTCAGGTACTTACAGTTTTCTTTACCCTGAAAGATTTCCATAATTTTTCTTTGATTTTTTTTTTTGACTTTAAAATTTCAAAAAATATAGTGCTCCTCTTTTTTTTTTTTTTTTTTAATGAACTGCCTCTTATTTTGTGGAACCAAGTCCCTCATATTTCCTCATGATTAGAGTGAGGCTCTGCGTTCTTGTTCGGGATACTGCACAAGTGATGCTGTGTCCTTATCAGGACATTTAGGGGCAGACTGTACATTTGTGCCTTGTTGGTGATGTTCCTTTGGTCACCCAGTCAAGGTATGACCTGATTTCTCCACTGTCTGAGTGTTGTTTCATTTTCCTCTTGCAACTAGTAAGCAGTCAGTGAAGAGGTACTTTGAGATCATGTTAGTATCCTGCTGCAGAACCACTTTTGACTCCAGTAAAATAGCTGCCCTCCTGTGTGCTTTCAGGAGTGTCAGGAAGACACCAAACCTCTAGAAAAATGATCTCCGTTCCATCTCTGACTTACAATGTTTATATGTTTTTTTTTCCTTTTCAGTTGAATGAGGAGTCATATTTGGTTTAAGAAATTCTTACTCATTACTTCCTTCTTTGGGCAGTTCTCTGTGCATGACAGATATGTCTTTATGACTTTAAAAAGGGAGGGGAGATGCTGGCTCTGGTGGAAAGAGGAAGTCACAAGGAGAAAAAGAAGAGAAAGTAGTGGATTAGCAAGCCAGTGCTAATGATTATGCAGAACTTAAGTGGGAATCTCATATATAGTTATTTTTATATTCTCTCTTCCATCTCATTCAGGAAGAAAGTAGTATTTTTAGCATAGCCTTATTAGATCATTTAGCCAGAATTGAGTAGCCAGGGTCCTTGTGCTGGACTCAGCCTCGTTTTTGGTGCCAGGGACTGGGATAGGAAGGAGATGAAGTTGCCCTCACTTTTAAGGCATTTAAAAAATTATGGAGGAAAGAAGACTTAGATATTGAGGAAATTTAGAGAAGAATAAAAGATGGTCCGTAGTCCTGAGTGTTTTAGGTGTTCTGTGGGACGGGGGAAGGGACAAGAGTTTAAGGAAAGGGAAATAAACCTAGATTTGAGGGGTGGTTTGAATTTGGATGGGTCCCAGAGGCTGTGCTGAACAAGGCAGCACTGCTGTGGCCAAATCAGCAGAGAGTGTGAACCGGGCAGAAACACTGAGGGTTGGGGTGGTGTCCAGTTAAATAGATGAGGCCAACATTATGAAATGGTTTGTAACTGTCAGCACATCACATTATCTGACTTTAAACACACTTTAGATGACTGTCCACATCAGGTTTGGAAGGCACTGGCATCCATTCGGAAGAATTGTGGGTTATACTCCCATACATAAATCATATCCAACGAGGGGAGGTGTTGGAGGGACAACAGGAAAAATTAGAGGAAGGAGTTTCTTATAGAGGTAGTCAAACTGACAAGTTACTTGTTAACAGTTAAGGCATTTAATTGGGTACGGAAATTAGTGACATTTTATTCCAAAAGTATGTTTTTCCCTTGGATTTGTCGAAGTTGATAATATTTTTAATAGCACTCCTCAACAGTAGGAATAGGCATCTTAAATTTATACTAATTTGGTGATGTACATGAAGATGTTTATATTAGCTGTTACCAAATTTTTTATTTGGGTGGATCCATGGAATTCTTGATTACCTTACAAAGAAGGCAGATCTGGGTAAAATAAGCTATCGAGTTTCCCCACTGATGGCCAAAGAAAAATGATGTTGAGCTGACAGCATAAGATTTTCCTAGGTCCAAGCATGTGTATTTATTAATAAGCTCCCACTGAAATTCTGTGTATTTGGGAACTACTGCCTTGGACCATTTCTAAAAATCCTTATGCTCCCAGCAGGTGGGAACCTGGGTTGCTTGGTAACCTAGCAAGGAAAGCTGTTGTTCACAGGTACTTTGGGCTGAGCTCTTTGCTCTGGGAAATTCTTTTTTCTTAGTTTGTGTGATGCTTTAGATGTATTTGTGAATATAGCTGCATGTTTTTAGAAAACGTAAGTATGACCTACTTAGCTACTAATTAATTCAGCATATGATTCATTGTGTCCCTGTGTGCCAGGGACATGATGGAAGCTAAAAAGACTCATTCAATAATTTTATAGTCTGATGGAACATACCATGCATTTTTTCTTCTTTAAGGTGCAAAATGATCTAACATTACAGAATAATGGGAGCGAGTATTCTCCCAATGAGGTAAGTTTCCTGGTGATTAATGAAAGCTGAGCTATTTTGTGAAGCCTGAATTGGAATATCTTTTATAGAAATCTATAATCTGAGACTGTCATGATTAATGAGTTAATTGTATTGCGGATTCTCTGAGGGAATCTCTCATTAGCTCTCATAGCCTGATCTGGCTCTTACCCATAATTAAAGATTCATTTTATAAGATATATTTTGAAAACCAAATATGAGAACACTTTCATAGAAATTGAAGTGAAAATAGCTCAACTAGGCAACATTTAGAATGTCTTGTTTTCCATAAATGATTCAGTGCATGGTTTCCCTGTAGCTGAGACATCTGTTCAGTGTTATCTGTTTCCTCATCTTACTGTGTGATGAGATTCTTTGTCAGACGTGCCGTCTGTGAGGTGGTGGATGTGAGTGTGCGCTTGTGCGTGTGTGCTTGTATGTGTGCGTGCCTGCATGTGAATGCACAGTCTATTCTGGAGCAGAAAAGGATTGCCAGTTTCACACGATTGTCAACTATTTTTATAGTGAGCACGTGAAAAATTGAACGGATCTCCCCCAGAACAGCATTCTGTTCATTCTACCACTTAAAGCATTTTCAGGGCGAAGATGCATTAATTGTCATGTTTTTTAGTCAGAACTTCCTCGCAGCAGCACATGCAAGAAGGTGGTGGTTTTATGATAATCCGTGATCATAGAGAAGCATGTATAGTTCAGCGTCAGTTCCTTAAAAACTTTCCTTTCCTTCTAACACCACAGGTTAGAGAGGACTCCCCTACCATCTCTCCTACCAACACCAGCACGGCTCTGTTTGGCCTGAAGCCTCGATCAGGTAAATTAAAACCTCAGCATTCTTGCACATGTGATCAATTCAGTTGTTTCTCTTTGG